CTGTATAAATACTCTGGACTCTAATAAAGCTTTGCTGGCAATGCGCAGGAGCGTCAGCCCTCCCAATTCTTTCTGTCTTTCTTTGTTTTCTTCGCCCCCCTTCCGCACTTCAGGACCTGCTCGACTCGGCGCGGCTGGACCGCGTCAGAGTAGCAATACTTATATCAGACAAAATGGACTTCAAAACAAAGAAAGTAACAAGAAACAAAGGAGGACATTACATAACGATTAAGGGGTCAGTCCAACAAGAGGACATAACCATTGTAAATATATATGCACCCAACACAGGAGCACTGACATATGTGAAACCAATATTAACAGAATTAAAGGGGAAAATAGAGTGCAATGCATTCATTTTAGGAGACTTCAACACACCACTCACTCTGAAGGACAGATCAACCAGACAGAAAATGAGTAAGGAGACAGAGGCACTGAACAACACACTAGAACAGATGGACTTAACAGACATCTATAGAACACTCTACTCAAAAGCAGTAGGCTACACATTCTTCTCAAGTGTACATGGAACATTTTCCAGAATAGATAACATAGTAGGCCATAAAAATAACCTCAGTAAATTCAGAAGGATTGTAATTGTACCAATCGGCTTCTCAATCACAAAAGTATGAAACTAGTAATAAATTATGCAAAGAAAACAAACAAAAAAAACACACAAATACATGGAGGCTTAACAACATGCACTTGAATAATCAATAGATCAATGACCAAATAAAAACAGAGATCAAGGAATATATGGAGACAAATGAAAACAACTCAACAGCCAAAAACAGCTGGATGCAGTGAAGGCAGTTCTAAGAGGGAAGTATACTGCAATATAGGTGTGTCTCAAGAAAGAACAATCACAAATGAAGAGTCTAAACTCACAATTAATGAAACTAGAAAAAGAAGAACAAATGAGGCCCAAAGTCAATAGGAGGAACATAATAAAATCAGAGCAGAAATAAATAAAATTGAGAAGAATAAAACAATAGAAAGAATCAATGAAACCAGGAGCTGATTCTTTGAGAAAATAAACAAAACAGATAAACCCATAGCCAGACTTACCAAGGAAAAAAGAGAGTGTACACGCATAAACAGACTCAGAAATGAAAAAGGAGAAATCACTACCACAGAAATAAAAAGAACTATTAGAGAACACTATGAAAAATCATATGCCAACAAATTGGATAACCATAGGACATATCTCTAGAAAAATACAACCTTCCAAGACTGACCCAGGAAGAAACAAAAATCTTAACAGACCTATTGCCAGCAATGAAATCGAATTTGCAATAAAAAAAACCTACCTAAGAACAAAATAAATCCCTGGACCAGATGGATTCATGACTGAATTTTATCAAACATTTAAAGAAGACCTAATACCCATTCTCCTTAAACTTTTCCAAAACATTGAAGAGGGAATACTTCCAAACTCATTCTATGAGGCTTGCATCACTCTAATATCAAAACCAGGCAAAGACACCATAGAAAAAGAAAGTTACAGACCAATATCCCTGATGAACATAGATGCAAAAATCCTCAACAAAACACTAGCAGACTGAATTCAAAAAAACATCAAAAAGATTATCCATGATGACCAAGTGGGATTTATTCCAGGGATGCAAGGATAGTACAATATTTGAAAATCCATTAACATAATCCACCACATCAACAAAAAGGACAAAAATCACACGATCATCTCAATAGATGCTCAAAACACATTTGACAAAATTCAACATCCATTCATGATAAAAACTCTCAACAGAATGGGTATAGAGGGCAAGTACCTCAACATAATAAAGGCCATATATGATAAACCCACAGCCAACATCATATTTAAGAATGAAAAGTTGAAAGCTTTTCCTCTAAGATCAGGAACAAGACAGGGATGCCCACTCTCCCCCCACTCTCCCCACTTTTATTCAACATAGTTCTGGAGGTCCTAGCCACAGCAATCAGACAACACAAAGAAATGAAAGGCATCTGGATTGGTAAGGAAGAAATTAAACTGTCACTGTTTGCAGATGACATGATATTGTACGTAAAAAACCCTAAATAATGCACTCCAAAACTACTAGAATTAATAACTAAATTCAGCAAACTTGCAGGATACAAAATTAATACAGAGAAATCTGTTGCATTCCTATACACTAATGATGATATAGCAGAAAGAGAAATAGGAAAACAATTCTATTTACAATTGCATTAAAAAGAATAAAATACCTAGAAATAAACCTAACCAAGGAAGTGAAAGACCTATACCCTGAAAACTACAAGACACTCAGGAGGAAATTAAAGAAGACACCAATAAATGGAAATATATCCTGTGCTCATGGATAGGAAGGATTAGTATTGTCAAAATGGCCATCCTGCCTAAAGCAATCTACAGATTCACTGCAATCCCTATCAAAATACCAATTGCATTCTTCAACAAACTAGAACAAATAGTTTTAAAATTCATATGGAACCACAAAAGACCCCGAATAGTCAAAACAATCCTGAGAAGGAAGAATAAAGCTGGGGGGGATTACACTCCCTAACTTGAAGCTCTACTACAAAGCCACAGTCATTAAAATAATTTAGTACTGGCACAAGAACCAACCCCACAGCTCAATGGAACAGAATAGATAACCCAGATATAAGCCCACACATATATGGCCAATTAATATACAATAAAGGGGCCATGGATATACAATGGGGAAATGACAGCCTCTTCAACAAATGTCCAGTTGGTAAAACTGGACAGCTACATGTAAGAGAATGAAACTGGACCATTGTTTAACTCCATACACAAAAATCAACTCAAAATGGATAAAAGACCTGAATGTAAGTCATCAAACCATAAAATTAACAGAAGAAAACATAGGCAAAAATTTCTTGAATATAAACATGAGCAGCTTTTTCCTGAACACATCTCCTCAGGCAAGAGAAATAAAATAGAAAATGAACAAATGAGACTACATCAAACTAAAAACTTCTGTACAGCAAAGGACACAATCAGCAGAACAAAAAGGCATCCTAAAATATAGAAGAATATATTCATAAATGACTTATCCTATAAGGAGTTAACATCCAAAATATATAAAGAATTCACATGCCTCAATACCCAAAAAATAAATAACCCAATTAAAAAATGGGTGGAGGATCTGAAAAGACACTTCTTCAAAGAAGAAATTTGAATGGCCAACAGGCACATGAAAAGGTTCTCTACATCACTAATTATCAGGGAAATGCAAATTAAAACCACAATGAGATATCACCTCACACCAGTTAGGATGGTCAACATCCAAAGACAAGAAACAACTAATTCTGGCAAGGATGTGGAGAAAGAGGAACACTCTTACACTGTTGGTGGGAATGTAAATTGGTTAAATTGTTGTGGAAAGCAATGTGGAGGTTCTTCAATAAACTAAAAAGACAGAAATACCATTTGACCCAGGAATTCTACTCCTAGGAATTTACCCAAAGAAAACGAGATCCCTGATTCAAAAAGACATATGCACCCCTGTTTATTGCTGCACTATTTATAATAGCCAAGATATGGGAGCAACCTAAGTGTCCATCACTAGATGAATGGATAAAGAAGAGGTGGTACATATACATAATGGAATATTATTCAGCCATAAAAAGAAAAGAAATCCTACAATTTACAACAACATGGATAGATCTGGAGGGTATTATGCACAGTGAATAAGTGAGGCAGAGAAAGACAAGTACCAAATGACTTCATTCATTTGTGGAATATAAGAACAAAGCAAAACTGAAGGAACAAAATAGCAACAGATTCACAGACACCAAGAAGGGACTAGTGGTTACCAAAGGGGAGGGGTTATGAGGGTGGGTGGGGAGGGAGAATGGGATTAAGGGGCATTATAATTCATAATCACAATATAGGTGGGTCACAGGGAAGGCAGCACAGCATGGAGAAGACAAGTAGTGATTCTGTAGCATCTTACTACACTGATGGACAGTGACTGCAATGGGGTTGGTGGGGGGACTTGATAATATGGGTGAATGTTGAAACCACAGTGCTGTTTATGTGAAACCATCATAAGATTGTATAATAAACGATACCTTAATTAAATAAATATATAAATAAAAATGAAATTGTTGAAATTATGTCAAGGTGATATTAATAGTGCTCCCATGTTCACTGCAGCAGTGTTCACAATAGCCAAGATGTGGTAACAACCTAAATGTCCATTGACACTTGAATGAATAAAGAAAATGTGGTATATAGGTACAATGAAATATTATTCAGCCTTAGAAAAAGAAAGAAATCCTCCCATAACAACAGGGCTGAATCTGAAGGACTCTATATGCTAAGTGACATAAGCCAGGCACAAGAAGACAAATACTGTGCGATTCCACATATAAGAGGTATTTTAAAAAGTCAAATTCAGAGTCAAAGAGTGGAATGGTGGTTGCCAGGGACATAGGGGAGTGGGAATGGGGAATTACTGATGAATGGGCATAAAGTTTCAGTCAAGCAAGATGAATAAGCTGTAGAGATCTGCTGCATGAAACTGTACCTATAGTCAACAATAATATATTATACACTCAAAAATTTGTTAAGAGGCTAGATCACATGTGAAGTATTCCTTCCACAATAAAATTTCTGTATTAAAATTCCTACATTGCAGGAAAGAACTGATGTTGGCCATCTCATAAGTGTGTAGGGATTTTTCCACTTTCCTCATATAGATCCTCAAGGAATAGCATTAGCAATCTTGAAATAATTACCATTATAATTCACCTAAACCAGGGCTGCCGAGGTAATTTGATTTTCAGAATGAAATTACAGCGGATCCAAAGGAAACGATTCAGACTTCCTTTCACATTTCAAATTTGGTAAATCCAGGTCTTTCTGTCGAACAGGAAATTCCCAGTGCCCAGCAACCAACTTAAAAACAGACACACAAACATGGACATATACATAGCCCTGTAGTCAGGACTTTTATAATTTGCTGATGAAAATTTTAAAAATCCATGCCTCTTACCTTTCCAAAACTCCCTTTACCAATCGCCCGCAGAATCTGGAAATGGTCAAAGTTGACTGCAAAAGAAAAAAGATGAAAAAAACCAAGTCAGATTTGTCAAACCATGTACTGGATCTTGCAAGTCCTTACCCACATAGGTACCCATTTATTCCAACGGCTTCTGGTTTCAGTTGCATTATATCCACTATGGCAGCACTCCACCACTGAATGGACACTTCTCAGCCTTATTTCATTTCCCCCAACACATGAGTTTGGCAGTAAACACCTCCCCAGGGGGTCTACAGGATGAAAGACATCCTTGGGGCTCAGAGGAGCAAAGTCCAGATACTTACATCCCCAAATTCTTGTACTTGCTGCGGTTTCCTTTCCCTCGATGACTTTTCCCTACTCCGGTCTCTGTCTTATCTACCTGGCACTCTTATCTTACCCATCACACAGCAGCTCGCCTAGCTCAGTGTCCAAGGAGATAATCCTGCCTCGTCTGAAGCCTTAACTGCCGGGACCACACCATGGACCTTTCACTGCAAGATGAGAACAGCACCCCTCTCTTGGTACGCCCTCTCTGTGCCATATTCTTTGATGGGGATCCCCATTCCTGCTATTTCTATTCCCTTCCTCCAGTCTGGCTTCTATCCCCATCCCTTCAGCACAATAGGCCGAGAATGCATGGCTGTGCCACTAAATGCAGTATGCACCTTTCTGTGCTCCTTTCACTCAGCCACTCTCTCCTGCTTGGCTCCCATGGGGGTGCACCCTCTGTTTCCCACTTTGTGCAGCAGCTGCTTTAGGGCACTCAGCTTTGTCTGCCCAGCCATTGAATACTGGAGTGCGTCAAGCTCCATCCTACAACCTTCCCCTTGTCACTGGCTGCAATGGCGTCAAATCAACGCCATTGCCAAGGCGCCTCCTCCCTGGCTTCCAGGCTGGTGGTACACATCACCGCCATCCTACGGCAACTCCCAGAGGTCATAAAGCCATCCTGAGCCCAACAGGTCCCCAACAGAACCTATGATGAGTGGCTCAACATTCACCTCACCTCACAAGCTCGAAGCCGGGCACTCCTCCCTGACTCCCTGCTCTCCAAAGCCAACCCAGGTGCGATCCTTGACCCAGTTAGGCCTGCAGAACCTCTTTACCACCTCTCCCATCTCTTCCACCTTGTAGCCACCCTGTGATCTAATCCAGCAACATCTCCTGTTGGACCCCCACAGGGGTCTCCCCACACCCTCCCTTGACTCTCCTGCCCGAGGGTACATGCTACCCCACAGGCAGGGGGGGTCTTGTTCTTCCTCTGCTCACAGCCCTCAAATGCCCCCTCCATTGCTTTCAGGGAAAAGAGCAAATTCCTCCCTGTGGCCACAAGGCCCTACTTTCCCCCAAAATACATCCTTCTATATTATTTTACACATATTTGATTAAGATTCCTTTTCCCCGCCAGACCCAGCTCCCTGAGGTCAAAGGCCATGTTTGCTTTTTTTGCTGTGTCCACACCACCTAGCGCTGCATTAGCACTCGACAAAAATTCATCAGTTAAAGGAACGAGTGAAAGCAGATCTCCATATTCACAGTGCCAAGCACAGTTCCTGGTATATAATGAGTCCTCTGTAAATATTTTTTAATTAGATTGACTCACAGCCAGTTTCCAGTCACTAGGAAAGGCACGTTATTTACGGAAGATGAAGTGAACAGATCAGCTCACTACACGATGGGGGTGAGGACACGGGGAAGTGAGTGAAAACAAACAGTTCCCTGTCCCACACTTACACAGTGGAGGGTGACTATGCTCAAGCCAAAGTCAGATCTTGTGTGCCACCTGATGCCCAACGTGCTTAGAACAGAGAGGCAGAGTTAATGGTTAACTTGGCAAAACCATGGTTCTTTGACCTAGATTGATTTCCTTTGCACATAACTGGCCAGGAAAAGAAATTCCGTATTTTCACCTCTTCCCCACTCACCAAAGATCCAAGGAGAAGAGAAAAACAATGGGATTGGACTGCACTCATTACATGATCAGCATGGGCTCGGAAATGCGGGTATCCTATCAAGAGCCCCCGAGGTTCCACGAGGCATCTGTTGGCGTCTGCCACCTACCCTCCAATCAGCAATAAACATCACCGCCTCCCTGAAGGCCCCGTGCTGCCAGGTCTCGGTGCTGCTTCACCTGCCTGGAAAGCCTCTCCTCCAATACCCCGTATTCTGGGGAAAAGTTCTACCTGGCCTTTGACATGTGGCCCAGGTGCTCTCTCATGAAGCTTTGTCCCACTCCCCACAAATCACTGTCTCCTTGGTACCATCTCTGAACCTTCTGCAGACGTCTGTCTATCCAGGGATCAGGAGAACCCAGCCTGGAGTTAGCCTGCGTAGGTCCTGAGTCAGCTCTTCTGCAGTCCAGGTGGCCTTGGAGGAGTCACCTGGCCTCTGTGTCCCCTCACTTGCCTCACTTTCCCCACCTGTAAAATGGGAGCCATGGTGCCTACCCTCCATGGAAGCGTAGAATAGTGCCTGACATGCTGCAGCCTCTCAAAAGAGATCTGTGTTGAGGTGAGGAACCATGCCCCGTCTCCGTGATTTCTCCTACAGGGATATTTCCCTGAATACCAGTGGCCTCTTGCCCCATCAACGGTGGTGTAAGTTGCCCAAGTGCTCAGCTGGCGAAGGAATAGTGCTGGCACATTTTCTGGCATCTGTCTTAGGGAGCAAGCTCTTCCTTGGCTCCTTCCTGCTAGAAGCTCTTCAGGGCCAGGCACAAATACAGAGAGATCTGGGGCTCTGGAGCCGTCACGGAACTGGTGTGGGGGCCTGGCTGACCCTCAGCTTCGGAATCAGGGAGTCTGTCGTGGCTGCCCTCCTGAATTACAGCCAGTTCTGTCCCTTCTAGAGCTAAGGCTTCGTTCTGCACTCACCTCTCTTATGTCCTATTTCCTAACTGGAGACGGGTATTAAATACCAAACAAACTGGAAAATGTCAAAAGCTACTATTTTAATAATCAGCAATACATTGTTGTAGATAATCTCACTCATCCATATTCTTTACAAAAATACGTGTTCCTTGAAGGTGTCTAATGTAATATATGAGACAAATACGTATAATTATTTGGACTAGCCTATTGGACTAGGTTGGATTTAAATGACTTGAAGCATATGACCTGTGTTTTCCATTTATTTGCCATCCCCCTGAGACCTGGTATACTGATACTTAAACAATAATGCCTACAGGAAGACACTTTGCACAAGTGAACAATTTACACTTGTTAATAAGCAGACTGAAATGGCTTCAGTCAATGAGAGTGTCAACTCAAAGACGGTCCCAGAAATCTCACTGTCACACAGGGCTTTCCAGAGCAAGAGTTGTCTGGGGGATGCAGGAGGGTTGATGAGTGGATTTCTTAGGGTGAATGCCTTGTCCTGGTTTGCCCAGGACCTTCCCAGTTTTAGCACTGAAAGTCCCACATCCCTGGAAACACTGCAGCCTTGGGAAAATAGGGACAGTGGGTCACCCATAGGTTTCTAAATCATTAAACTGTCCCCCCTGAAGGAGTCACATGCACTGCCAGACAGGCTGGGGGCTGGTGAGGTATATTTTTAAAAAGCAGCATCTACTACAGATGGCCAACAGGCACATGAAAAGATGCTCCACATCACTGACCATCAGGGAAATGCAAATGAAAACCACAATGAGCTGTCACCTCACACCGGTCAGAATGGCTGCTGTCCAAAAGACAAGAAATAACAAGTGTTGGCAAGGATGTGGAGAAAAGGGAATCCTCAAGAAACTAAAAATAGAAATATCACAAGACCCAGTAATTCCACTTCTAGGAATTTACCCAAAGAAAACAAAATCTCTGATTTGAAAAGATATATGCACCCCTATGTTTATCACCACATTATTTACAATAGCCCAGATTTGGAAGCAACTCAAATGTTCATCAATAGATGAATGGATACAGAAGATGTGGTATATATACACAATGGAATATTATTCAGTCGTAACAAAGAAAGAAATCCTGCCATTTGGGACAACATGGATAGACCTATAGGGTATTATGCTCAGTGAAATAAGCCAGGCAGAGAAAGACAAATACTCTATGATTTCACTTATTTGTGGAATCTAAAAACAAAACAAAACATCAATAGATTCACAGACACTGAGAGGTGACTGGTGGTTACTGCGGAGGAGGGATTGAGACGGGTGGGTGAAATATGTGAAGGAGATAAGGAGGCACAAAATCTCAGTCATCATATAAGTCAGTCATGGGGATGAAGGTACAGCATAGTGAATACAGAATATAGTTAATAATTCTATGACATCTTTCTATGTTGACAGTAACTATACAAGTTGGGGTGAACATTTAATAATGTAGATTACTGTCAAATCACTATGTTGTATATTTGAAACACTGTATATCAACTACACTTCAATTAAATTTTTTTCAATAATAAAAAAAAGGAGAAGAAACAGCATCTGTTCAGACCACTTGATGCTTAGAGTTGCCAAGGGTGACAGTGCAATCAGTCACTGTTCAGGTAGAAATGGGTGGCACATTGCCAGCCAGAGGCAAAGCAGGGGGTACTAGTGACCTGACCCAAAACCATGAGAGCAGTGACGCCTGCCTGGAGGGCTGTCACAAGAACAAGGAAATGACACATGGGCCGTTAAATAACTGGTTGTCCATACAGGCTCAACTTTCCTTTCTTCCTTGATAAAGAAACCTGAGGTCTGCTTAGGAATCAGGGTGGCCGGCCCCAGGCAGAGTCACAATTCATCTAACCCAGTAACATTCATCAGAATCATCTGGAGGCAGGTTAAGAAGGATCATGGACCCCCTGACCTCGGGTTTCTGAGGAGGGGCCAAAGAATTTGCATTCCTAACAAGTCCCCAGGTGATACTGATGGTTATAGTCCAGGGGCTATCTAATTAATCTGGACAATTCTGTTTCCCTCTGTTCCAGACACTCATGAAGCTGGCAGTGACCTTGTGACACAGGTCTCATCAATGAGAGCTAAGCAGAGAATTAATGGCAATATGTCTGGAAAAGCATTTATTTTTCATGATGG